AGAAGCTTGATCGGTAAGTGAGTCTTGGCATATGATGGCTCTTGACTAGCAAGGTAGATGCTGTCATGACTCGGTATCTCTGTGGCCTTCTCTTCGACTTGATTGCTCTGGCATGGCCCAGGTCGTACAGGAGAACACAGTCGGAGCCAACATATGTCACTTCCAAGAATAGCCCCGCATTTGCGTTATGGTCGGGTTTATTATATTATCAATATGTAAATTCGCCCGCTCTTGGGTCGGTCGACTGCGTCCGGGGCACGAAACAGATACCCACATAGTGCCAATTTGTTGGTTCCCTGCATGTGAGGTGTCCTCTACTCTAAATATCAGACAGAATGAAGTGTGAAAGTGCACCGTGAGACTCCAACAACAAGATCTAAAAGAACCTTCATAGGTATAGTAAGGGTGGTATTGATGTCGTTTTGCCAGTGGCTTACCAATGAAGAGGTTAGCCTTGCACATTCACAGCTGAGGTAGCTTTACGCAGTTGGCGACTAACCGATCATGTCCGTTTTGATAGGTTGGATACTCATTACCATGAATTACTGGACCATGAGTGTGCAGACTTCATCACATGGGAAGCTAGGTGATTCTGTTGGACTGGTGCCATCAACGAAGGGAGACTAACGGTCGGGGTAATCTTGTTCCCGGGCTCTATCGACCCTTGAATGGGTAGCTGGCGATCTCTGTACGTATAGCCAAGATGTGGGCTTGGAGAAATAAAGCTTTCACATCTGTTCTCTAAAGTAGTGTGTTGCTGTTGTTGGTCTGTCGCAAAGGAAGTTGAGCTTGGCAGTTGATTGCAAACTTCCACCGAAACATTAGTATCGACTGGTACGTCGACTGGCCGAAGAGGAACAAGACTACTCATAGTTGGTGAGGCGTTTGATGTTTCCTGAGGCCGAGGTGCAAGTGGTAAGCACGCCGCATTCACACTGGAAGAAACTCTGCGCGTGGTTTTCTTCTAACAAAATCCGGGAGCCTCGAGTTAGCTTGATATCTATTTCGCAAAGACCATATCGCAACCCCTAAAGTCGGGCATAAGGAAGGGCCCAGGCAGCAACGAGGGGTTGAGTACTTCAGAAGGAGCTTTCGTCTTCTTCACCCTGGAGCTTTGCTGTAATTTGTAGTGCTCCTTTGGCCTCGGACATGGGGTCTGTTTACACACGGAACAAGTGACAAAGGGGCGACCTTTCCGATTGATGCGGATCAGTGGCCGATCTGCTATTTATGTCAGCATGTAGGCATACAAAAGAGAAAGAATGAAGATGAGAAGCAAGAAACACGATGCTGTACCATGGTGCTCACACGTACTTACACGGTGCCCGCGAACGCAAGGCCCGCAAGCCCACTTCACACCGTCTACTAACATATCCGCTAGCTTTGCCGAAAATTAATCAGATTGAAAGTTGCCTCTGAATAAAAGGAGCTGAGCTACAGTATTTATGTCAACAGGAGCGGGAACGAGAGAAATACTAGCAACTGATTGACAATCCGAGGTACAGAAATTGACATCACGACAGGCCTGAAATTGGAATAGCGAAAACCTTAACTTATTTGCTTCCTGGCTGTTAATTGGGCTTTTGCAAGTACGAAATTATCAGACTTAAACACTCTCGGCATAGGGTGGTCGAACCTGTGTTGTTCAGGGCAATATAAAGTATGCGGGATTTTCCTGCGCTACTAAGTGTTTCATATGCTGGGAATCGGCAAGAAAGTGCCTCATACATTTACACCGAAGCTCCCATCGACGCCAATGTATGAATCCACCCCATACTAGGCTTGGTGGGGCTCATATTGTGTTGGAATAAGGCCGTGATAATGAAGTGTCCTAGATCCACTTTATGATCGCCTTCCTTTGTGTCCGACAGCACTCACCTGATGTTGCATACCCTAAAGTCAAAGATGGTCTAAAATCAACAACAAGCCTTATAGCGCCTTGAACGTAGATTTCTCTATGTTGGCTTCATTTAACTACAGTTCAATGCTACGCCGTACACGGGTTTATATCCATCGCGGGTGCCTTATAACCTCCAGTACCGCGTCTGCCTTTCCACTCCATCGCACACATGTAGGAATCAATATGATGCAAATTTAATTCTTTATTCATCGGAGGTTATCTCAACTCCTGAATACCGAGGTGTTTCCAAAGTATCCATGCTAGGGGCAGACTATACATCTACAAGGCTCTAGGGATGATTGATTCTGATCAGAATTATTATGGTGGTCCTGTTACCCAGGGGTGTGGTGTACCATGGAGGGTGACTGTAACAACCCGGGAGGCGGTTTATGATACTTAAATCGAGAAACATGTCCAATTAGTGATTATCTGAGAACCCAATCTCATTTGGCTGTTCCATAGCCCTTATACCCAGACCATAAGCCAGCCCCCTCGAACAGAATACAAAGAGTGATTCATTGTGGTTATCATCCACCAATAGTGTTGGTGTTTATTTGACAGGCGAATCACGAAGGCTTGCAAAAGATATGACATAACAAGAAATATACACGGCACGCGCACTTGCGATAACGTAGAGAGGAACTTTCGGTCAGTTGGCACCAAGGCCTTTGTTGAGGGCGACATGAGCCTTGCGATGAGCTTCGCGTGCCGGAGGATCTTGTCCCTTAGGGAGAGGTTCCTCTGCACTAGGCGGGTCGACCGTGTATTTAATATGATCACCGATAATCATTGCATTCGATGCCAAATTCCCGAACAATCCACCACTGTTATCGGCATACTTGGAATGATCCTCTAGGCCGACAGCATTCAGTAGCGCGTTATTTTGCCTTCGGTGGAGATCTACTTTGTAATATTCCGGGGTTAATGAACATTTCTAGTCTAACGGTGGGTATCTACTAACCTTGGGTAATACCACTTGTCTCCTCAATTGGTGCTGCCAATGCTAGGGTGCTCGTCACCAGAATGGTGAGTATTGATGAAATGTCGGTCCTCATGGTGAGTAGTCTCCAGGTGTTCTAACTGCAAACAAATTTGGGGTGTAATTTTTTGCAATCCGAGGGGGGAGGAAGACAGAGAATATTTATGAATAGAAAATGGCCTAGATTGTATATGGTTAAATTTTCGAAGTGCAAGGGCTAGTTTATTTATGAATCGCAATCTTTCACACGCAAGCAACGAGCGATGAGGCTTGGTAGCATCGTCCCTACGTGGGTCCATTTTTCAGTCGTTTCAGGCAAACTCTACCAGGTCCAAAAATGAGCATTTCGCCCTACCATAAACTTGGCTCGTGCTTATTTTCGAACTCATCGCTTTGAAATTGTTTCTTGATTAGAATAACACCAAAAAATAATAAAGAGGGCAACAAGCTGTTCCCATGATCGTGCTACCCAATTTGGATATCTGCGCGCCACTAACTTTGGTTATTTCGCGACGACTAGCCAAAGCTTCCGTGAGGTTACATCCAACTTCGTGCGATTATTGAATGCCCCATACGTATGAAACAACACCAGAGACGGTTATGATAAATATCAAGGCTTGATCAATTGTAGGTTACCTCGGGTTCCTGGAATGGCCACAAGGCAGCTTGCAGCTTACTTTGCTTATGACTTTAACGCAACGAGATGAAAATGCAAAAGCTAGCTCTACTGTGGGGGATCTGAGGTGACACGATATGAGCCCCCCAGAATATTAGACAGATTAGGGTGAAAGAACAGGGGAGTTTTCGCCAGACTTCGGAGTGTAAATCTGCTGGCATCCTCTTAAGTAGAAAAATACTTTAATTGGCTTTGCATAACTGTAAAATACTGTGCAGATCTTGATTTCCCCCGAAAAGCTATACCCATCTATTTATGACTAGATGTATCCAAAATAAGCTACTCTTCTCGCTATCTTGGTTTAGACCCTTTATTGTTATGTGCTCTTTTGACTTCCGATGATACCGATATTTATCTAAGGCTCCATTCCAAAAGATAGAAGCAGATTGTGTGATTTAAATCATCACATGGCTGTCGGGGAGGGCCAGCAGCTCAAATGCCTGTAAATTCCAATCGGATCCACTGATGGCTCATTAAAAGTGGTGTTTAGATTGTGCGAAGCGCATGATCTATTTTTAGCTCCCTAAACCAACGGGCGAAATACATGGGCAAACAAGCCACCAGTGACTCCTATCCACAATACCTCAGATACGCCCGACGTTCATCAGATGCCGAGGGTCTGATGTCCCAGGAAATTGGCCAGAGCATCGCTGGGGGATAGAAGCTCAGGATATACCAATGGCGATCGCCGTGCTATGGAGTTTGTCTCCCATTATAATGTCTCCTTATCTAAACCCTACTGCAAAGCCTAAGGCTAAGCCAACACCACCTCCTTCGCCTTGGGGTACCCTCGACATATACCATTTTGTAGAATAGGAAACTCCTTGTCTACTAGACCCTCAATCCCTTGGGGCATCCTCTGAGCGCTGTGGTTACCTTACACGCCGATTCCTCAAGTTAGGATGTCAACGTCAGCAGCCCTACAAGTCCCGCACAGAAAGGTCACGGAAGCCACAAGTTCATAACTTGATATACCCGATCTAGGCTTCATCCTAAATATCCTAGTACAGTTCCGCCAACCGAAAATGTATGTGACAATGGAGGTATCTTGCTAACAGCAGGGTCGCTTCCAATCAACACTATAATATATCACTTCAATCCTTCCTCATTTTGATCACAAAATGCTTAAACATGCGTGTGACACAGATTTAAACACCTGATTGGAAAATTAAAGCCCAGGTGTATCTTCTGGTGAAATTGATTTCGTCGAGACAATCTTCCTCTCTGAAGAGATTTTACAAGGGTAATGACCTACGTGATACCATGACGTTTGGACGTGTTGAGATGATAATAGGTATGTAGTGGCTATACACGGAGGTTACGCCATACGATTCAAGACGGGTCTTGTTAGAGAGCCAAGGAATGCTCTAATGGATAATGCGAGTCCTAGTTGCTTAGTTTCCTTTCAGACATAGTTTCATACGGCGTTAAATGTACAAAATAGTTCACCAACTAGGAGGAAGGCAATACTTGTACCAATGCATCTCCGTATCAGCATCCTTAAACCTCTCGATCTTGTCAACCACCCCATCTTCTCCAATCTCCCACTCACCATCCTCCACCATCTGTGCCCAGCGTAGCAGTACCTTGACTAACTGAACCATACCGCGATCACCGAAGCCATTGAGTCCAGACTGGTAGAGGCTCTTGTCATCCCCTTCCGGATGGGATTCTATTTCGTCTATCGATATCCCTGTTTGGGCTCCATCGCTAGTCCGTGTCCATCCGTTTCCCCCAACCACGAAAGGTAAAAGAAGATAACACGCGTTCGAAAACGCACGGTTTGTGTTTGAATGAATCCTTTCTATATATAGCCCTGCTGGGAGCTTCGGAATATTACTAGGCGGTGAATAGGATGGCGGAGGGGGCGGTGGCGAGAGACGATGAAGGCCACCGCCAAGGCCCTTCTTGTTATCTGTATAGAAAAGGAGTAGGGGTAGTTTTGTTGGATCATTTGTTGGGTAAGAGCCGAGGTAGGGCTGGGCGGCGAACTCTGAAACAGTTGGTAGTCGGATTCCAGGTGCAATATAGCGAAAGGGTATCTTTTGTGGAGACAGACCCGTGAGAAAGTCGTGTATGAAGGTCTTTGGTGGTAAGTTAATTGAGGTGAGCAGGTCTAGATCAGACCAAGGATTGTAGGAGTTAGTCGCTTCATGGACTGGCTGGCGGGCCTGAATAGCATCAAGCAGTTTTTGCATAGCAGACAGGGCTTTATCCACATCGGACTTGGTATATGGATGGAGAACCCATGGCTTCATAACCGCAGGCCAGTCTGGAGGGTTAGGGCACATCAGGGTGACTTTAGCTTCATCAATCATGTCAAGATATGCATCGAGAATGACCTCCAGTGGCTTAAAACCCCAGCCGTGAATACACATTGGAGACTCCTCAAATATATGGCCGACGAAGGCTGCCAGAGATTCTTCCTGATCATACCTAATATTAACACTCATTAGCTATATTACACATTATAATTAACTGGACTTCAGCTCTCTTACAAAATACCCCTTTCATCGCCCATGTTATAACCTGTGGTACAATAGAGCCACAAAAACCGACCGGGGTACAATTCCTCTACCAAAGTTTCAAAGAAGGCATCAGGAGGAATGAGACTATGGATCCAGTAAAAGAGAGCAGGCCTTTCCATCGGATCCTTAGGGTTATCCTTAGGCTCGACATAGGTCAATTTTAAGAACTCAATCAGAGAAGGGTCTAAGGTTTCTGCAATCTTCTGCGATGGCGAAAAATACTCCCACCAGGTAATATGTGGCGATGAACAAGATCCCCTCCATGACAGCTGATAGAGCTCATTATGTAATGCTGCGCAACGCTCATAATCCATACGGCCCAGTTTCCGCACTGGATTGGACGGGGTGATTCGGGGTCCCATTGACATCTTCGATAACCAGATTGTAGAGATAGGTTGATTGAATGAGACGAGCGATAGGAGGGGAGCCAGGCGATATATAAGTGAATGTATCCCACTTCTTGGCAAATGCCGCGCTTATCTGTCCAATGTTACATTGAGATTTGTTTTCGTACTTTTGCTATTCATTCAATTGAAATTCCCATGTATCCCATGCTCGTATGCGTGATTGATGGATTAGCAGTCCTGCTATCCGTATAACATCGCGAAAATCGGATGCAATAGGTTGTACCTATGTTCTAAACTCTCAAAAAGCGAGAAGAATATGCACAATCCGCATGTCTCCGTACCATCTGTCGTCTTCGGATTGGATTTCTACTAGTGTCGGCTGCTCCCTTTGGCCTTTGGTAGTGTGAGTCACAAACTAGCGCAAGCCTGTGCAGGGGTATGTTGAACTCTCCACCCTATCTCATATCACCTCCACGGGTCTAACCGGCTCATACGGGACAACTCTGAGTTGTATTAAATGTACAGCTACTCACGCGTACACGATAAGCAATACCATATACACCTCAACATGATTCTGGTCAAATGCCCATGGACAGATATCTGAGGGAACTGGTCCGGCGTCGTGCAGTATGGGATAGAAGTTATGGATATACTGATGGAGATTGTCTCGGAGGTATAGCATCTACTAGCCCATCCTATCACCTACTCACTACTTCAGAAGCTACGGCCAAACCAACGGCATGCCTTTCCAGATTCTATACGTAGAACCACCAGCTCCTCTACCTTGGGGTACCCTGCCAATGGAAATATAAGTTCTCGCAGAATGGGAAACTTCTTATCCATTAGATAGTTAATCACCCCTTGAGACACCCTCAAAGAGCTGTAATGGCCTTGTACGTCAATTTCTTGGACTGGGTGTTTGGGGACCGCCATATGCTCGCATAGCCCATTCCTGCTCGATTGAGGATGATATGCTTAAGCCTGGGTGTTGTAAGCATTAATCTCTACAGATCTTTCAACCAAGGCGAGATGGCCGAGCGGTCTAAGGCGGTTAGTACCACTATATCTTCACTATCTTATCAAACAAATAACTAATAATCTCTCAGCTGGAGTAAGGTTCCAGTCTCGAAAGGGGCGTGGGTTCAAATCCCACTCTCGTCAACATCTTTTTTTTGTTTTCATTTTTTCTTATTTGCACTCGTTTCTTATTGTTGTTAGCGTTTAGCGTCTCATATCTTTTATTTTCCAGCTTTGCATTTGCACCTACCGTAGTATACATTTACGTCTCCAACTACAACGCTACTCTGGGCAAACCACAAAATGAAATTTGTAGGCACTTCACCAGTAAATGGAATACAGTATAGGGTACGACAAGTAAAACAAATGCCAAAAATATATTCTTCCCAGTATGGATATCATACATACCCAAGGCTCACTGTGTGTATCCTCAGTGCTGACCATAACATGGGTCAGATATCCAACACGTTATTCCGGGCATATGGCCCCTATAGCTCGGTTAATAGCCTTCACCACGCAAACAACCTCTTCTATGGAAGAAGGAATCACATGTCCCTTTTCATGGACATATATAGATAATCTTTCTGGGTTGAAAAAGTCCGTGGTCCGCTGTGCTAATGATTTCAATGGATCCTGCGAGCCCCATATGTGCACACTTGGGACGTCCAACCGCAGACCAGGATGACTCGGATCCAATCCCACCGTGCTGCCCTTTTCTAGCATCGTGCAATCATAGACATGGCTGGCTCCAAACAGGATCGCAACTTGAACCGGTAGCCTGGCTATTTCTCCCATTTCGAGCGCATTCTGTTTATGCTTCAGCCATGTGATTGTCAAGCACGCACCCAGACTAAAGCCAATCATGCCATCGAAAGGGCCCTCATCTTCGAAGAATCGGTCCAGGTCGTGGATTGCGCGCAAGCATGAGTCTGCCTGGTAAGGATCACAGTAAGTGAAAGTCGCTTCATCTGAATGAACTGCATCTTGGTTCGCTGTACCATGGTTAGAACAGGGATGTTCCAAGATTTTACACACAGCATACATGCTTTCCAAGGGATGGCTCCTTCCACAAACTCGTACGTGTGCTGATCGGAAAGTTCGTACCGGATAGCTGCTGCACTAGTCATCAGCCACCTATGCAGATATGGGCGTTAGTCACCTTCCTCATCAGGCTTACCTGTTTGGTGCTGCAATATCTGGAGTTCGAACGCCAAAGGCTTATTAGATCATATGCTAGATACGGGTGTACAGGACATCCTACCTGCGCATTATCTCCCACACCGTGGAGGCTACAGTCGCTTTAGCAGTACCCAGTACGGCGAAGGCAACGTGATATACACACCAGAGGAAGCGCATGATTCCTTGAAAACTCTCCCAAATAGCAAAGCACCACTTCAGAGCAACAAGATTGTAATCAGGGTGACAGAGGCAAGTCCCAGAGGCATGATATTTTCAAATCCCTTCGTTCTGTACTTCCCCTGGGTATATAAATACATACACTCATGCCGCTGAGCAAAGCTTGTCATTCATAGAATCCCTGCTTTCTACATGTAGACTTATTATGATATCGTTAACAAGCCTCCGGACTGGCGCAAGCGCTGCAAGAATATGCAAAAGAATGAGTGTGGAATGGATGTGGCGTCATATACAGGCAAAAAGCGCTCACCAAGCAGTCGACAAGGCAAAACCACGGCTGTTACTTGTTTTGTGGTTGCACCACGTATGCGTACGGCAATCTTGATGAGTTAATTTATTGTTGAAATACTCGTTTCTATCATGGAATCAACAGGATTTTGGTGACGAACTGGCATGAGTGGAAACAAGAATCGAATGTATTAAAACTTTAGCAACGCCGAGTGGAAGAGGAGACCCAACGTATACAGTGTATGAAAGAGGTTCTAAGGGTCCTGGTACAAGACACAAATATCTCTATCAATAAATATAGGAAGGCATCGGATACACGGAATCAACACATTACCATCATTTGAACGATACTGCAGCAATGAATCCTTCTCTGGAACCGCTAGCTATAACTGGGATATCTCTAAAATTCCCAGGAGATGCCGTATCTGCTGAATCATTCTGGAAATTGATCATAGAAGGCCGCTTGACAATGAGAGACTATCCACCCGATCGATCAAACATTGATGCATTTTACCATGCAGATCACGGTCGTCTTGATCAGATTTCAGCGCGTGGCGCTAACTTCTTGAACCAAGATATCAGCCGATTTGACGCTTCTTTTTTCTCAATCAATGCGGCTGAGGCAGAGGCAATGGATCCCCAGCAGCGTCTAATTTTGGAGACTGTCTATCACGCTTTCGAGAATGCAGGGATGACGCTTGACCAGGTTTCAGGCTCTAAGACCTGCGTGTACGCTGGGTCATTTGGCCACGACTATTCAACAATGCAAGTCAAGGATCCCATAGCCCTACCTAAGTTTTCCGCCACGGGGACTGGGATGACTATACTATCTAATAGAGTGAGCTGGTTCTTTAATCTGACTGGGCCGAGTGCTACTGTAGACACAGCATGCTCTAGCAGTCTGATGGCCGTTGATCTTGCGTGCCAATCGATTTGGAGCGGGGACTCCTCCATGGTATGTCTGTTTGCACTTACAGGATAATTCTCCATTGACTATTCTCGTAGGGTGTGGCTATTGGCAGCAATGTGATAATCGGACTTGACACTAGCCTACCGTTGGATAACCTCGGTCTATTGTCTAGTGACAGCCGGTCATACAGCTTTGATCAGCGAGGCAATGGCTATGCCCGTGGCGAGGGGGTTGGTGTCCTGGTGCTTCGCCCTCTCAAAGATGCCATCGATCATAATGACACTATCAGAGCAGTGATCCGCTCATCAGGATCGAATCAAGATGGACGAACTCAAGGAATAACACAGCCTAGCATGGACTTACAGCAGAAGCTCATTCTAGACACGTATAAGAAAGCCAATCTTGATTTGTCTCTAACAAGCTATGTCGAGGCTCATGGAACAGGTATGCTGGGCCTATGACTCGTATCCCACACTTGTCGCATTACATCGCTTAATCACCCGATGGTAAAGCTTAGAAGCTCAATATTCGAACAGGAACTGCCGTGGGAGATCCCATTGAAGCACAGGCAATTGGATCTGTTTTCCGACATCATCGAATAGTTGATGATCCAGTATATATGTGTGTCTTTTTTCACCAATATCAATACTGCATACTGATAGAAAAATTACAGAGGATCTGTCAAATCCACAATCGGTCACCTAGAGGGTGCAAGTGGAATTGCGGGCGTCATTAAAACCGTGATGGCTCTCGAAAACGGAATAATCCCTCCGAATACCGATTTTCAGCAACTTAACCCTAGGATCGACGATGTCTATCTCCGTATCAAGGTGGCAGACAAACAGATTCCCTGGCCTACAGACGGCTTGCGGCGAGCCTCTGTAAGTTCGTTTGGGTTTGGAGGATCAAACAGTCACATAGTGCTGGATGATGCCTATCACTCTTTGCAGGCTAGTCATGCGAAAGCAAACCATAATACAACCGTGTACGAGTCGAATGGTTTATCAAAAGAAGGAATATCTTCACCTATGCTGCTTGTTCTATCTTCCACTGATGAGGATGGCTTTTCGCGCCTCAAGGATGCCTGGGGACCGTTTTTCTCTTCTCTTAACACACCTACCACGGAGAAGCAACACTTGCTTAATAACCTCGCGTACACTTTGTGTCTTCGTCGAAGTCATCTTTCATGGAGAACATTTGCCGTTGTTTATCCTGATGATGACTGGTCACATCTGATTGACAATCTTGCCGCACCTCAGCACATTATAAATTCCCCTAATTTAGCATTCATATTTTCTGGGGTACGGAAAATCCCTCTCTTGAGTTATACCTAACTGACATCTGACAACTTTTAGCAAGGGGCACAGTGGTATGCTATGGGTCGGGAGCTTCTTGACGCTTACCCTGTATTTTGCGAGAGTATCCGGGCAGCTGGGGCTTATATACAGACCTTCGGTTGTCAGTGGGACCTAATAGGTAAGAATGGCACTACTACCCAGTTATAGGATGCAATGGCTTACATATCGCAGACGAGCTACGGAAGGGAGAGGCCGAGTCTAATGTCAACAAAACAGAGTACAGCCAAATGCTCTGTACGGCTCTACAGATCGCCCTTGTTGATCTCTTACATCATGTAGGGATAGTTCCTGAGGCTGTAGTGGGACACTCGTCAGGTGAAATTGCCGCGGCGTATGATATTATATTTGATCATGTTTTATGGCCAGGTGTCTAACATTTTATTCAGATACTGTGCCCATGCCATAACCCGAGAGTCTGCATGGAAGATTGCCTTTTACCGCGGATTATGGACCAGCAAACTGGAAAGGTTCAGCAGTATCAATGGCGCAATGCTTGCTGTTACTCTGTCGCCACAGGCCGTGGCACCATTTTTCAAAAGAGCGACAACCCACTACTCTGCTTTAAGGCTAACTGTTGCATGTATAAATAGCCCCCACAGTGTAACGGTATCTGGGGAACAGCAGCAAATTGACACGCTGAAAGAGTACCTTGACAAGGAGCAGATATTTTGCAGAAGGTTGAAGGTTAGAGTGGCTTACCATTCCTTCCAAATGAATGAGATTGAGACACAGTACCACCAGGCCATGGGTCTGGTAGAAGGAACAGACCATAGAGGCAAACGTCCAAACATTCTCTCTTCTGTGACTGGGACCTGGATCTCACATAGTGAGATGCGGAGTGCCTCATATTGGGTGCAGAATTTGGTGTCAACTGTCAACTTTTGTGATGCTTTGACTACACTCTGCTCAAATACCACCGATATGGCTGTTAAAAAGCTGGACGGTAGTCACCGAAAGGCATTAAGAATACACCATCTACTTGATGTTGGACCGCACTCAGTTTTACAGGGGCCCGTTAAGGATACTCAAAAGGGAATCAGGGGTTCCGCAGCCGCATACTACCCACTACTAGTGAGGGGACAACCCGCCGTGGCAACCTTTCTACAAGCTGTCGGTCACTTATATGCTGCTGGATACCCGACTATCATGTCTCGCGTGAACCCATGCTCCTCAAAGCAGGAAAAGCCAATGTGCTTACCCTCTCTACCCGAGTATCCCTTCAATCATAGTAGGTCCTATTGGCATGAAAGTCAAATCAGCAGAAACCAGCGACTTCCAAAAGTTAACAAAAACGACCTTCTTGGCATGCCTGAATCGAATTGGAATCCCTTGGAGCCACGCTGGCGGCATATAATTCGGGCTTCTGATCTGCCATGGATCGAGGATCACCAGGTTTGAAGATTGTATAATACCAGTATTGAATGGATAGCTGACAACGAAAACTAGGTTTCAGGCACAGTCATATATCCTGCAGCCGGCATGCTCGTCATGGCGATAGAGGCCGTCAAGCAGCTTGCAAGTCCAGACAGGGTGATCTCCGGGTTCAAGTTTGAAGATACAGCAGTTCTTGCCACCATCCGGATTCCTCCGGGGGATGGTGGAGTTGAGACGGCCTTTTACATGCGACCACAGGAAGCCGTGGAGACCAAATCTTCCCAATTATTTTCCTTCACATTGTGCACATATGTGAATGAAACTTGGCTGGAGAATTGCCGCGGGCGCATCCATATTGTGTACAAGCCCGTTGAACCGGATCCAGTGAATGGGAACAAGGTGGAGCGGGAGGATCTTGCTGATTCGCTAAGTTGTTTTTCAAAGGCACGAGAGAGGTGCACTTCACTCGTTTACCGTGACGTGATATACGATCATCTGGCGAAATGTGGCTATGAATTCGGCAAGGCTTTCAGGCAGATACACACCCTGGCCACGGGTGGAAAAAGCGAACAGGAAGTCGTTGGAGATATGAACAACTTCCAAGTATCTACGCAAGATATAATTCACACTACTACTCTCGATGGGATTCTCCAGACGATGCCATGGTCTATGACGAAAGGAGGCACAATAACAGTTCCTGGCGTTGTGCCAACATACATCGGGTGTATGTGGGTGGCTGGAGAGAGTTCCGCATGCAACATCCTCAAGACCCATACAGTGACGGAGACTTCGGCAAATGGCACATTGTTGACATCAATAAAAGTATTTGACCAGGATCTCCGCGAGATCATAGTGTCTATCGAAGGACTAAAATCCACCGCCACAACTTCAGAAAGCTATGCAGAGAACACGAATGCTGTAGATGAGCAGCTGTGTCATTATTTTGAGTGGAAGCCTGATATAAACCTTCTGAGTAACAAGGAAATCCACGCCTTGTGCCATACGGCATATCCGAATTTGTCCATACCCAAGGACTTCCTCGTTGAACTTGACTTCCTAGTGATGCTTCGGATCATGGAAACGTTGCGGGTCATATCAGAACGCGATATCAAACCCCAGAAAACGCACCTCAGGAAGTATATTGACTGGATGACGCACCACAAGGGACGACTCCTGGAGGGAGAGCTTATATTCTCTACGGAGCCATGGAAGAGTCGATTTAGCGATTCAAAGTACATCCAAGGAGTTGAGTCACGGGTGATGAGTAGGAGTAAGCAGGGCAAGCTGCTTGTAAAGGTGACACGACACTTGGTGGAGTTCTTGAACAATGAGCTGGACCCATTGGCATTATTTTACCAGGATGACATGGCCAAAGACTATTATGCTGAACTGGTGAGACTGGTCGTATCCATTGGCTTGCATCGTTCTAACACTTATTTCATGTTGCTTTAGTTGGAATATTCGCACTGCTTCAGGTACTTGGAGAAGTATGTTGATCTGCTAGCCCATTCCAATCCGCAGATGAATATCTTAGAGGTTGGCGCTGGGACCGGATGTGCGACCGCGGCCTTATTACGTATTCTCAGAAACGACAATGAGCAGAAGTCAATGAACCCTAGATACGCACATTGGGAGTATACGGATATATCACGCTTGTTCTTGGGTGACGCTGCGAAACATTTCGCCTCTGAAGGAAGTCGAATGGCGTTCAAATTGCTAAACATTGAGGAGGATCCAGCAGATCAAGGCTTTGAATATGCAACATATGACCTTCTTCTCGCTTGTATGGTACGGGCTCGCCTCACATTGAATATATTCCTTGGCCAGCCACTAATTTTCGACCTACCCAGGTATTCCATGCTACTTCAGATCTGGCCAGGACATTGACTCATGCCCGAAAACTGTTGAAACCGTAAGGAAAATAATCAACCTTTCCAGATTTATGTTTCGCTAATCGCATAAAGCGGTGGGAAATTGATACTAGTCGAGCTGACGAATCCCTGCGCCATTCGCTCTGCTGGAGCTTTTGGCCTTCTCGATGGATGGTGGCTTAGTTAGTAATTCGATGCACTGCTTGCGTTGTTCATCTACTAATATGAATAGGTTCGGAGCCATACCGGTCTCTTGGTCCATTTGCGGACGAAGCCCAGTGGAACAGCCTATTATTATCAACTGGTTTTGCCGGTTGTGAGATCTTTTTCCCAGACTATGATGATCAGACATGTCATGAGACTGCAGTCATTATCTCTACAGCCACACAAAGCACATCTCAATCAGCCTCTGATCAACCCATTGACATTGTGTATGAACCCAATGATCGTACGCAGCTAGGCCTAGGACGAGTCCTTGCCCGTCATTACGCAACTCAAAGCCAGTCCGTCAGGTTAATTCCAATCCAGGATGCAATCCCCTCATCTAAAGTGACACTACAGGTCTTCCTCTTGGAGTACCAAAAGCCGTTGCTGTATGATATTAGGGAGGGATTGTACAATAGGCTTCAAGCTCTTCTACTTTCGACTGACCCTATACTATGGGTAACTAGCGGAGGTGGGAAACTGTGCTCACAGCCGAAGTCCCACCTGATTGATGGGCTATTTAGAGTACTGCCAGAGGAAGACAGAAACAGGTCTCGCTACGTCCTTGCACTTGATCCTATGGAAAACCCGGAGGTCCCTCAGTATGAGACCATCGCTAAGCTTACCGAACGGATTTTGAGAGCCACCGAGGTTATTGATACGGAGTATATTGAGTCTAACGGGGTTTTGCATATTCCCCGATTAACTGTTGATCCTGTTCTGAACAAAGCTGTCTCCGAGAGGGAACGAGTAGTTGCAGAAACGAAGCAGAAATTTGGCTCCGGTCCACCCCTCAAGCTGGACGTATCCTCACCCTGCATGTCAAATGGGTTCAAATTTATTGAGGACTGTTCTGCACAACGGCCCCTCGGACCAAATGATATCGAGATCCAAAACAGATCGGTTGGAATCAACTTCCGTGATTTACTAGTGTCTCTCGGCCAACTAGAGTCCAACTATATGGGCCTAGAATGTGCTGGTGTTGTCGTCCGTGTCGGGAACTCATGTAGAAGGTTTAAGGTTGGGGATCGCGTTGTTGCGCTGCATTCCTCTGCTTTTTCTACCCTCGCACGCATCCCCGAGACAGGCCCGGTCGCAGTTATTCCCACAGGCATGTCATACGCAGATGCAGCGTCCATTCCAGTCAGCTTTGTTACATCCTACATTACGCTGAGACAGGCCGCCTCCATGCAGAGCGGAGAGTCGATACTAATCCACTCAGGGGCTGGCGGTACTGGGCAGGCGGCTATCCAGATTGCACAATACCTCGGTGCAGAGATATATACGACTGTCGGGTCAGAAGCTAAAAAGCAACTCCTTATCGATACGTATGGCATTCCTGAAAACCACATATTCTCCAGTCGGTCAACAGGCTTTGCGAAAGCGGTAATGCGAAGAACCGCTGGAAAAGGCGTTGATGTGGTATTTAATTCTCTATCCGGTGATGCAATGCTGGCTTCCTGGGAGTGCATCGCAGCATACGGGCGCTTTATTGAAACTGGAAAGCGCGATATCCTGTCGAATAACGGCCTGCCCCTGGGCATGTTCGCTCGGAATACCACGTTCAGGGGGTTCGATTTAACGGGGATGATGATGGACCGCCCCGACATCTGTTTATCGGCTCTGGAAGACATACTGTCGCTGATGTCAAAGGGTATTTTGCGACCTGTGCAACCACTTACAAGCTATGGGATTGGTGAAATTGAGGCTGCCGTCAGATTCATGCAGACAGGGAAACATCAAGGAAAGCTGGTACTCGAAATTCAAATGGATGACATGGTCATGGTATGTACAGCATTTCAAACGGGTCAATAGCTGCTAAAGTCGTGCAATAGACTGTTTTGGATAGAAAGCCTAACTTCACCTGTGACGGTAGCGCAACATATGTCATTGCGGGTGGTCTCGGTGGTATTGGCCAAAGCATCGCAGCCTGGCTTGTAGATCGCGGCGTCCGAAACCTCCTCCTACTCTCACGGTCGGGGGCCAAAGCAACCGAATCGATAAAATTTATCAACTATTTACACTCAAAGGGTACTAGGGTTATTGCTCCAGCTTGTGATATATCGAATGAAAGTGCCTTGAGTAGAGTGCTTGAGGAATGGCAGCCTCAACTACCTCCTATCAAGGGCTGTATCCAGGCTGCCATGGTATTACAGGTTCGTCAATGTAACCCTATCTATGTCCCTATTCTTGCTAACATGAGCTAGGACTGCACTTTTGAGGATATGTCATACAAAGACTGGGAGACAGCAGTCAAGCCGAAGGTTCAGGGCTCATGGAATCTTCACTGTCTCTTGCCCAAAGGAATGGAGTTCTTCATTCTACTCTCGTCTCAAACAGGCATCGTTGGCGCTCATGGTCAGGCTAACTATGCCGCGGGCAATACATTTCAGGATGCCCTCGCGCGGTACCGGGTGAACCAGGGCGAAAGGGCTACATCACTAGACCTAGGCCACATCACTTATACTGGGGCAGTGGCAAGCAATCAGAAGCTTTTGCAACGATGGCAATCAAACTCAGTACGTGCACCCGTGACAGAGGCTGAGCTTAAAGGCTTGATCGACTGCTACAGTAGCCCTTTGCACGGCTATGAGCTAGACTGTCAACCAATAATCGGCGTGTATCCCAGGCTCCGAGAAAGAGGCTCCGGGACACCGACATGGCTAGAGAAACCACTCTTCAAGTGCATGACACTAGATAATGCACAGTCACGAGACCTGGACAGTCGAGGACAGAATTTCCAGGTTGCAGCAGCCATTAGAAATGCCCAGTCTTTGCCAGCCGGTAGTCAGGCCGTTACAAGGGCTCTAACCGCTAAACTATCCCACGCGTTGGCATTGGACGAAAAGGAGATTGATCCAGATAAACACCTAAGCAAATATGGTGTAGACTCGCTCGTCGCTGTAGAGCTTCGTACGTGGTTTGCTGGGGAGCTGAAAGCCAATATTGCTATTTTTGATATTATTGGCAGTACGGTTGCGACAGTTGCACAGTTAGCAGCTAGCCGAAGTAAACTTCAGAAGGGGTACTCTGCGTAAAGCAGCATGTTATTCTATAGCCTGGTTTAACGGTAATAATTTGTTTCAGATTTTCTGTTACATTATATGATTGCTTAACGTCCCACTGGTGAAACCCCAATAAATAAACCATACCAATCACCCCAAGTCCAATTCAGCTCAAGACAAGTACCAAGCCCTAAGTACCATCG